TATCCTGCTTGCCGGGCGGTGGTGGCGCACGCCTTTAATCCCAGCACTCGGGAGGCAGAGCCAGGTGGATCTCTGTGAGTTCGAGGCCAGCCTGGGCTACCAAGTGAGTCCCACGAAAGGCGCAAAGCTACACAGAGAAACCGTGTCTCGAAAAACCAAAAAAAAAAAAAAAAAAAAAAAAAAGAGTATCCTGCTCTTTTATATTATAATCATATTTTAAATTTTTTAATCTTAAATATTTGAGACAATAATTAAATTATTTTTGTTGTTTTTCTTTTTTATTATTGTTTTTGTTTGTTTGTTTTTGTTTTTGTTGGGGGTCAGACAAGGTACACTATGTAGCCTTAGCTGACCAGGAGCTCACTTTGTAGATTAAGCTGTCCTGGAACTCTCAGAGATCCATCTGCCTCTGTTCCCAAGTGCTGGTATTAAAGGTATGTATTACATTTGGCTTATTAACTTTTTAAATATCAATAATAGGAATCCACATAATGTTTCAAGCAATAGAGTAAAAGACTCTTCCATGTTTTTAAATTTGTTTTGAGTTTATTTATTTGAGGAGGTAGGGAATGTCCCTCCCATGGCCCTTGTGTGAAGATCTGAGGACAGCTTACAGGAGTCAGTTCTCTAACTCACGCCAGGTGGAGGGATCCAATCCAGGTCACCAGTCTAGGCAGCAAACATCTTTAGAAACTGAGCTATCTCTTTAGCCTGAGGTTTTATATTGTTAAATGACAGTCCTTGCTATTGTATGGAAAGCATGATGGATAGCAAAAGTGGAAATACAGTTTTCAGTTTTGCTTCAATGGGACAAGTAAGAACTGATTGGGTCTGTGGTGATCAGTTTTAGTTGTCAACTTGCCTGAATCTGGAATCAACTAAAGGGTGGGCTGCTGGGCATTCCTATAAGGGATTTTCTTGATCAAATTATTTGAACTGGGAAGACTTACCCTAAATGTGGTTAGCATCTCCCAGTGACATCCCAGACAAAGGAAATAGAAGAAAATATTTGCCTTTTGTCTGATTTCCTTTACTCTCGGTGGCATGTTCATCTGCTTTGTTGCTGGTACTGTTGCTGCTGCTACTTTTCTTCACTGATAGTGGGTTCTAGCTTTAGGTTTCTAAATATGGACTTATGATCTGTGACTCTCCAAATTCCTCTGGGCTTTTACCACTAAACTAGAACTACTGAGGTGTTCAGCCTCATTGAATGAGCAACTACCAAATTTTGAGCCTGAGAATAAGACAGCCATCATTAAACTATCCAAAACATATCAGGTCAGCCAACGTAATAGATTCCTGTTTAATATAAATTCATTCTTTTAATCTATTCCTCTGTAGAAACCTGAATACCATAGGTCCTAAACTGGGCATGAACTGCTTTAATATAAAGCAATGGAAATAACAAGAAAGACATAAAAATGTAAAGTTTAGTATAAACAATTACAGAAGCCAGAATTATTCAGGAGGCTAAAGCAGGAGGATATCAAGTTCAAAGTCTCTGTGGTAAAGTGCTTGCCTAGTGTGTGTAAAATAATGTATTCAATCACAATCAAAATGCACATACATATTTACACACAGAGAGACATGGACACACACAGAGACATGCACACAAGGTGCTACCTAGGAATACTGGAATAAAAAGTTATTAAATTAAATGTAGATTCTCAAAATCAGAAATGTAACTCTGAAAACTGTCTACTTCAGTCTAGGATTTCCTTTTAGTGACCCCATGTTTCCATCCAAAAATTATACCTAACCATCCAATCTCAGAACATGAAAGTTATTTGCCTTTGATCATGTTACTGTATCTTCCTAAGGTCTATCCTCCAATTTCTCTGCCCAAAGTCTTATGTATACCTTAAAGATCCCATCAGATCCCATACCCATCCAGATATTCTGCCATTGGAGTCAACATGTCTTGAACTCATTTTCCAAATTAATTATCTGTAATATCAATGAGCCTTTCCTCTATATTAAGCTGCTAGATCTTCTAATTACCTGCATTAATACTCATGCTGGGTTACCAAACCTGAAAATTAAGATTGATATTCAATCCGCATGCCCTGCACCTTCCAGCACAGTATCTCAGGAAAATATAAAGGAACTAAAATTGAAATGAAAGAGTTATCATCACTGAACTAGTTGAAGAGAATACTGCTAAGCATGCTAAACTTGTAAGGAATCTCTGATTGCATTATCCTGATAATGTGATGATAAAGTCATTCACTTTTCTGTATCAGGTTTGATTCCTAATACATTAGCAGCAGAGACACATTCCTAAGTCACACTGGAAAACAAGGGGGATGCTCAGGGCAGGACGTTTGCATCTGCCATCACCACCCTGGGCAGCTGAGTTTGGAGATGAAACTCTTAGTTAACAAAGAAACAGTTTAGTCCCCAACATTTTGATAGTTGTTCTTCTCTTCCTACGTTTCTGAGGTTGGCGAAGTTTTGACCTATAAAACATTTCACAGAAATACTGAATTCAGATCAGCATAGAAGAAGACGAAGCTCAAAGACGCAATAAACCACACTGGAGAAGAGACAGTCTCCTCATAGTGAAGCAGCTGCAGGTACTCTTGGGATCATTGCAGTCACCTAACAGATTTCAAAATCCACCTCAGAGCTACAGAGATGGCAACAAGTTGAACTGGGTACAGCAAAACTTGTTGGCCAGTGGCTGCTTTGACGCCATAAAAAGCTAAGTGCCTGTCTTTTCCACAATAGTCTGAAGCCTTGGTAAAAATATGTCAGCTGCTAAATTGTGAGGTAAAAGGTAATTAGGCTCTTACCAAAATCTGAAACCTAAATTCACAGATCATCCAAGTGAAAAGGAAACTATCCTCTCACCTACAGAAGGTTCTTAGACCACAAGAACAGAAAACCCTGGTCCTCTGCACCACACATGGGTTGAGCTAATCTTCAGCCTCAAAATCTAAAGAGTTGAGTCCTCCTCTCATGTCTTAAGAATTCTAAACTAAGCAAATTTGTAAGGGTAGGACCAAAGTAGTTTTCTTGAAGCTGAAAACTTGCAGCTGACCCCACACTGGACGGCCTTCTGCGGATGTTGGGGGCGAGCTCCTCCACTCCTAACATGGCCCAGGACTCTGATCTTCACTTTTCTTGCTTATGAAACTGAAGTAGCCGGGCACTGGTGTTGCACACCTTTAATCCCAGTACTCGGGAGGCAGAGACAGGTGGAGCTCTTTGAGTTCGAGGCAAGCCTGGGCTACAGAGTGAGTTCCAGGAAAGGCACAAAGTTACACAGAGAAACCCTGTCTCAAAAAATGAAAAAAAAAAAGAAGAAGAAAAAGAAATTGAAGTAGTAGTGTTGTCCTTGCAGTACAGTTGCTAATAAACAAGGACAAATGTTGTGACCACTGTCACTGGGCCAGCTATGTGAGAAGGTGCTTATGGAGTGTGTGTCCCTTTCAGTCTTCCTTAGTTTCAATGCCCTCTGATCCTGAAATTATGTCACTTCTTCTCAATGAACAAAAGATTGTAGTAGATATAAAGAACGGCTGTGTATTTGTCTGCAGACAGTGTGAGACGAGGTGGTAAACTTTTCAACTCTGCAGGACAAAGTATGTCCAGGAAAACAACTCAAACACAACCTGCACTCATAATATAAAAGACTGTTTTCTCTAATTGGATCTTAAATGTCTCCAAGAGGCCCAGGTGCTAAAGGCCTAGCTCCCAACTTGATGCTACTGAAAGGAGGCTAGAAACCTTGACAAGTGATGCATATTGATGTGTCTCCCAATCTTTGGGAAAATGCCCCTAAAAGGGATTGGGGGAACTCCTGTTTTTCTGTGTTTCATGTCTCAGACATGAAGTGACTATTTCTGGCCTTCTGTACATTCACTACCATGCTATGCTGGCTTGTCACTGGCCAGAAGAGACAAACCAAATGACCATCTGCATGAATGGAAACTGGTTTCATCCACCTGTAATGAATAGATATCGAAACATCTAGGTATAAACTGGAAAGGTGCCACACTCTCTGGGTCCACTAAGCTTGTGTTTGGAGAATACAATACACCAGATTAAGAAAATTGAAAGCTTCTCAAAGGCCAAGCAGGTGTCAAGAGAGGTGTTAAGGATCTCCTGCTGAGACGAACCAGAGCTTACTAACCTCCTTCCACAGTATAGGTTGAGAGAAAACAATTCCCCAGAGCAGTGGAAGAGAAAGAAAGACCACATACATAGCATCAGAAAAACTAGAAAGGCGGGGAAAGGTTCCATTGATGTCAACTTTTATAGTGAGGACAAATCGGATAACAGACATGCCTGTTTTGTGTGTGTGTGTGTGGGGGGGACTCTCAAAGAAGAAAGGAGAACTGGAGTGATAAGTGACATTCCAGATTAACCATACGATCAGGCTAGAAGGAAGTTCCTGGGATTCTGGAGTGTTCCCTCCAGGTGAATTCATGCATTCTGTAGTATCGGCCACCTTCTAAATGGCCTTCTACCCCAAGCCTGATTCTCTAGCCCAGACACCCTCTCCTCCTTCCTGCTTCTTTTTCTTCTAATTTATTTTTTATCAAAACACCAACCAAAGGCTATTGATATGTGTAACCTGGGATAGCTCTTTAATCTATCATCTCCCTTCAATAAGTGAATATTTTCAACTAGGTCAGTTCCCACCTGTGTAACTCCAGTTTCCTACTGGCCACCTCTGTCCAGCCTGGCATCACTCTGCCACACTGCCAGAATGATCTTTCTGAAACACAAATCAAGTCATGGGAATGTCATAGGCCATCCTTTAGTACTCGATCAGCATAGGTGTGAAGTGGGAAACCAGCATAGGTGTGTAGTGGGAAAACACCTCTCACCTCTGTGTTTTCATTCTCTCATACCAAAGGATAGTGCTGAATTTCTTCGCCTACAGGAGAGGATTTCAGTGATGATTCAATTCAACACTGATTCCCCTCAACTAAGTTTTAAAGATTATAAATGTAAATGTCAGAGAAACTATTCTATGATAGGAGCTAAGGTTTAAAGTTTTAACTAGCAGAATACTAAATTATGTCTTACAGTATGGTGCCATCAATGTGAAACGCATAATAAACTCCTAGGAGGAAACAACATCGAATTTTAATGTTGTTTCTCTACTAATGATGTTACAGACAACACACATTTTCTTAACATATGTCTTCCACATTTTCCATAGAGGTCACATAATTCTTCTCTAATGAAGGGGAATTTTCAGCTTTTCAAACCTGAGCTGTCTGAGAGGGGCGTGAATCCAAAGGGGGACTCCTGCTACTGAAAGCTGCAGTTGGCATTCGGAGGAGGAGGGCTGCAGAGTTTGGCTATTCTTGGACTACCACAAAGAATGAATCTTCTCTTTGTGTTTCTCCCAAGGCTTCTGTCCAGGAGATGTCAGCAAAGGCAATTCCAGCCCATCTCCATGCTGCCTGGCGGAGGAGGACAGAAGCCTCCCGGACACTGACAGTTGACTAGAAGAGTCCCCTGCGCTGTGGACAGGTCCACACCGGTGCATGACAACTGAAACACCTGTGAACAAAATTATAGATACTAAATCCAGCATTAAATTAAATATAATTTTTATTTTGACTTTGAAAAGATTGCAAAGTGAAAAAAAAAAGCCACTGATTTTATGCTTACAACTCAGAGGAACTGGAGGAATAACTCACAAAGAAGTTAATATTATTTTGGCAAATTGCTTTTCATTAAAGGACTATTTTCTATCAGTATCTATTTTCAGCATTTGGCTTTTCTCTTGCAGTAGGAATGTTCCTTTAAATATTTCTATCATGTAGAAAAATAGATCTATGGTAATTATATGGCAAAGTAGAGTTTTCTAGCTTAATTATTCTCATCATATATAAGCTGTAAAACAACTTTTCTTTATTAGGGCCAGTAATCATTAAAGACACTTGGTAGTATTAAACAAGTAGTGATTTTTGTCACCAGAAGGATCTATGGCAATGTCTAGAGATACTTGTGCGCGCGCGCGCACACACACACACGCACACGCACACGCACACACGCACACGACTATGTACATATGTTACCTACCATTCAAAATAGCATCAGAGGGATCCTGCTGATTGTGGCACCTAGCACCTTCCAGTGCTGCATTACAGAATACCCAGGACAGCATCCCTGTGCCAAAAGATTACCCAGCTCAGATGTCAACAGTGACCAGTGACAAGGTTGAAACAACATTAAATAACAAATAAATACAATTCTAATTCAAGTTCATGATTACCAGATGTTGAGAATAGGAGAACTGTGTGGATCTTTTTTCTTATACTCAAAAATCACACACCATCCCTCTAACACCTCCCAGGTAAATGCAGAGTTCTCTGAAAAAAAAAAATGACAAAGGGTCAGAGGTCCCATCTTTTCCACACTCCCTACCTAGGATCCAAGCCACAGGCCTTACCTAGGAAAGCACAGAACAACAAATTTTCCTTCTAAATGTCACACACACCTGCCCATCACATTATCATCTACATGACACTAATGAATTGCCAATGTCTCTATTCCCCAAATAACAACTACTCTAACAGCATTGGTTATTCCCAACCCTGTATATCAACATTTTGTCTTAGTCATACTCATTTTTAAACACCTTTCTCGGTGGGAAAATAATATCTGAAATCCTTGGTTTTCACATATCTTCCTGATGCAGGCATCTCATCCTTCTGCATATACTGAGCAAAAGTCTCCAGCATCCATGTGAACCAGCATCAAGCAGTTTCCTCATCTGGGTGTCTCTTTTTGGAACATGTGAGCACATCACTCTTGGGAGGGAGTCCTTAGACTCTAAAAAGAGGAAGTTTAATGTCTTTCAAACACATTTATAGTTTTCCCCTATAGCACAGTACTTATAATTTATTTTTTGTTTTTAATTAATCATTTCCTTTATTTTCGAGATTATAATATAATTACAACACTACCCCTTTCCCTTTCCTCCCTCCAAATCCTCTCATATACTCCTCTTTTAAATTCATGGCCTCTTACATTAAAACAGAAGAAATGTTCATACTGATGAGGTACCATGTGATATCCACAAATACAGTGTAATCTGTATTTTTTAATCTGATTAAACATACATGCTTTCTCAAACATCATTTGTTCATGGTTGAAATCATCCACATTCTTTCTTCTAGTTCTGGGAAGTACACAATATATACTGTACAGTTCCACCTCAGAGCTTCTTACTTCATCCAACTGTAGCCAGAAGGTTTCTCTGGTCCCATCCCAGTCCTGCCCCAGCCCCACAGTCCCGCAGCTGCTTATAAAGCAATACCTGGGGCTTATACAGGGACACTTGGCTCAGCCTGGGAGGAGGGGACTGGACCTGCCTGGACTGAATCTACCAGGTTGAACTCAATCCTCGGGGGAGTCTTTGCCCTGGAGGAGATGGGAATTGGGGGGTAGGCTGGGGGGAAGGTGGGGATAGGGGGTGGGAGGGGGAAGAACAAGGGAATCCGTGGCTGATATGTAAAATTAAATTTAATAAATAAATTTTAAAAATGAAAAAAAATAAAGCAATCACTCACAAAAAAAAATCACCTTGAACTATGAACCAATAGCTGAGGAGCCCCCATGGAACTGGACCAGGCCCTGTGGATAAGTGAGACAGTTGATTAGCTTGAACTATTTAGGAGGCCCCCAGGCAGTGGGACCCAGACCTGTCCTTAGTGCATGAACTAGCTTTTTGGAGCCTGGGGCCTATGCTGAGACATTTTGCTCAGCCTTGGTTTAGGGAGGAGGGGACAGGACCTGCCTCAACTGAATCTACCAGGCTGAGCTGAGTCCCCAGGGGAGACTTTGCCTTGGAGGAGGTGGGATTGGATTTCACTTTTAATATGATTTCATTTTGTGTATATACAAATTGGGGAACAGTTCCTTGTGTTTCTTGGATATTATGAATAGTGATGCAACAATTTTGGAAGTGTCCCTATGTCTATGACATACCAGGTTAACTGCTTTTAGCTACATATACACATACCAATTATGGGATTAATCATATGGTATTTCTAGTCTTAACTTTTTGAGAAATAGCCATGTGGTTTTTTCATAATGACTATACATTTACACTCCCACCAACAGTAACAAGCTCATTTTCTGTCTCCTCATAGCAGCTGATACCCCCCGTCTTTTTATGTTAGCATCCCCTTGGAGGTGAGATGACAGGTCATTGTGATTCTGAAGATTAAGGTTTATGTCTGCTAATCCTGAGAGACCTTTATAGACACCCAAATAAGTCCATAACAGTCCCAGAAAAGAAACATAGTCAGGTGCAACATCTGGAGGAAAGAAGCAGAGGGACCCTTGGGCCCAGACAGCTACTGGTTTTATATGAAATCATCTCTGAAATGTTAGCTGTTCCTCTACTGGGAAATTTTGGTAGATAATTTTCTCATTGTTGTGACAAAAATACATGAGAAACACAATTTTCGGAAGGAAGGGTTTATTTTGAGCCACAATTTGAGGTAGAATATGTCATGGCAGGGAAGGCATGGTGGCCAGTGGCTGGTCATGTCACATCTGCCAAAAGGAAGGAGAGAGAAACAAATGCCAGTGCTTTTCATTGAGTCTGGGACCCTGGGCTGGGTTGTGGTAGTGCCTGCCCTCAGAGTGGCTTGTCCCTTATCTAGAAACTGTCTTACCGGCTGGCCCACAGCCTTGTCTCCTAGATGTCTTCATATCCTATCAAGTTGAAGATCAATATTAACTATCACAAGAATTTACTCTTTTTTTCTTATTTTGACAATCATAACATACTTGAAAGATGTATTTTGTATCCTGCCTCATCTTTTTACAGTCTTTGACTCACAACAATCACCGCCTCTCTAACCTGTGATATGCATGGGCTATATCCTATCACCCCAAAAAAGAACTTCATTCAGCCTCCAAGTTTGTCCAGTTTCTACCCTTCACTGGAATGCTGAATTAATTCAGCAAAGTCTCGGTAGCACAATCTTTGGTCCCAGATTAAAGCTATCATCTCTACCTCATTTCTATGTCTAGGAAACTTTACAGCAATAAACTACAGCGATGCAATGTGAAAGAAGGCCTAAGGTTATTCTCAGTTTGTTTTTTTCTGTTAACAAATAGTCTGATTATCATTCCACACTTTTGTCCTCAAGACAGTAAAAATGGGTCATCATTTTGAAATTTTCTTTTTATATAACATAACAAGTAGATATCCTCTGCCACTATATCTATTCACTTTTGTTCCCAAATGAACACCAAATAAATGCTTTAGCAGGACTGGCTCATTTGCCTCTGTAAACAACATAGCAAGAGGCATGGCCCATAAACTATGTATAGTATGTGTGTTTGTACATGTACACATATGGACAATGATAAGTACACACACTCTCTAGAGACTAACCCCGGGATCTTGCACAAACTAAGAAATTGCTCTATTGCTGAACTCTATCCCTACCCCTGTTTTCACCTTTTACTTTGAGACTATCTTACTAAGTTTCCTGGACTGGCCTTGAGTTCACTCTGTGGCCCAGGCAGGCTTTGAATTTGTGATCTTCCTGCCTCGGCCAATCAAATCTCTGAAAACAGAGTGCTGTGCCACCAGGTCCAGCTCAATAATGAAATAGAGTATTTATGACTATGCCGAAAATACACGCCTAACCAGGTCTGATGGCACACAACTAAAATTCCCACACTCAAAGGCAGGGTAGGAGGGTTGTCATGAGTTTAAATCTAAGATGCAGTTGAGAATTTAAAAGGTCATACTTAATTAAATAAGCAACATGACTATTTGCATATGGAGCAATACAGAGTTTTCCCTATTGCATCTTGTATACAGTCTGAAAACAAATATTAAAGAAAATTGATTATGACTATACTAACTGATGGTGGATGGGAAATAGTCATCATGGCCTCTGAATAAGGTAAGATTTTTAGCTACAATCAGGAAACTTGGCTAGTGGTCGGGGAGCCTAACCTGTGGGTAAGTTTCCTCTTTCAGGCTGACCAATTCTGATCAGCCCAGCTCTCACTTCAGGTCATAATCCCTAGGTTTCACTCTTGTGAGAACATGAATCCTAAATCATTCTTCAGAGGAACAGCTACTTCTTTGAGAAGATGGGACAGTAGCAAATCAAATCAATGTTCTTTACAAAACCATCTACATAGCAAACAGCTTTGGAAGATGGAAAGGATGTTTGTCTCTCTAGAGCATCAGGGGTACTTTTTTCCTTGCCGGGATCATTTCCCTCCATTCCCTTTTCTTCCTCTAACTTCTCTCATGTTCTCTGACCCTGCTTCCGTTCAAATTCCTGATCTCTTCTGCTTACATGCATATATACATATATGTGCATAAATACATATATGTGCATAAATACATAAAAACTCCATTTACTATTGTTTACATGTACATCATTTCAGGATTGACCACTTGCTATTGGATAGCCAGTTAGAAGGCTCTTCCCTGGGGAAGACCACTTCTCTCAGAGATTCTTAGCTGCCTGTAGTTCTTTTTTCAGCAGTGGGGCCTCTGAGATTTCCACCTTTCACATTAGCCTGTCTATTGGTGTTGTCTATGTGAAGATATTCCTTGGGCAGCCATATTGTTGAGGTCTCATAGGTGACTGATATTTCTAGGAGACAAGCTCAAGCATGCTTCCTGTTCTTCTGGTTCTTTCCATCTTTCTGCCTCCTCTTTTGTGGTGTTCCTTGAGCCTTAGGTGCAGGAGTCACATTATGGATGTATATCCATGTGGGTTGGGAGCATTTGTTTCCTGCATTTTTACTAGCTGTGATTTTTCTTTTGTAATAGTCTCTGTTGAAAGAAAACTGTCTTTGGTGAAAGTTGGGAGCTACACTTATCAATGGACATAAGATGAGTATTTAGAATGTTGTTGGGGTTGTGCTAGTTTAGGAAAGTGGCAGTAGTAGGTTCTCTTCCTCTATGATCCATGACCCTGAGTAGTTGGTTAGAAATCCACCAACTCTTAAAAATATTCTATGCATGTTCTCACCTTATCCTAATACCATCTTTATAGTGTTTGCAAAAATTTCACCAGCGTCCTTCAATTCTATGTACCATATATAGAAACATTTCAGAGATAGATGAGAACATGAGTGAGGAAGGAGATGGAAAAATTTAGATATAGAATGTGAATAAAATAAATTTATAAGGTTAATTTTGGCAGAAAACAAATTGATAGTGTAGCTCTGTGTATACTTACAAACAGAAAATTAAATTGCAAATAAAAAAGATCAATATCCCATAACCTTTATTGCCAAAATAAGGTTTGCATTTTCTACTGCATTTTATTTAACAGATAAATTCCCCAGATTGCAGTGACCTGGCATGACAAGGGTTGCTTGTTCGGTGCCAAGAATGAAAGATTCAATTACCGATGGAAACTTACCTGTATGCACAACCAACCAGGATGCCAGAAACGCTCATTTAGACATTCCTAATGGTTTTGATTCAGAGAACTCCCTGAAGACTGAGCTGATTACATTGGGATTTCTGGCTGTGATGGTCAGAGTAATGCCCACGGGGTACGAAGAAAATTGTGATGGATCTCCAAAGCACGGCAAGTCGAAGAGAAAAACCACTTTTCTGCCTGAGAGTTCTGTCCCATGAAAAATCGGAATGCATCAACAGTGAAAAGTTAATCTCTTCCAAGTGTGTGAAGAAATGAAAATGTACAACACACAGCTCTACTGGAGAAATGGGAAAAATATTACCGTATGAGGCCTTTTTCTCTCCAGTCAATCTAGTCGGAAATTTAAATATTATTGTATCAAGTAACCCATTCCATTA